GTACATGCTGACTGCTGAAAAAAAAACTTTAGATTAAAGATTATGATTAAAGAACATAAGGTTACTAATATGAAATGTCCAGTGCATAGACGACATGAGACTACACTTGAATAGTTACAGCTGTAATCTGCTGATGGTCTTCATATTTGTACTCTTACAATGCAGGAAGGGATTTAATGATTACTCCTGAACACTGGTAGATCAACAATGATTTTCAAGAGCTACATTACGCTTTTGTGAAACAGACTGCAATATTAGGATCAGTTGCATAATCATTTGAATGGTCAATTCATCCTTATGATTTTTGGGGGAAATGCAGTCATGGTTAAGATGAACTGCTGAAGTTTAAAACAAGATTCAGAATGTGGACGAAAGTTGATTGAAGTGACTTTTTGAATAATGAATGGTTGTTGATAGATGGTATAGTGTGAGTATTACCAAAGACTTTAGAATACACAAGACGTGTCACTCGTACAGTTTTAAATGGGGAAAAGTGTAACGTCAATATGGTGAAAGAAACCCACCTACTAGTACAGGAGACAATCATCAATCACAAATTGTTGACATTTCTCCGGGGAGAAGCTCTGACCAGACGTGTGCTTTTATGACAGTTTGGCGGTCAACAAGAACTTGAATCTCAGTGAATACTTGCTTCACAGAAATAAGAAATATACCTAAATAAAGCTTGAAATCTCTTTTAAACGAACCAAGAGCACTAGAAAACAAAAGCGTTTTGTTTTGAAATTTGCATGAAACAAACACAAGGTACACATTCTGTCAAACGCACAACAAATGACAGCAACTCCTCAAACACCCCACACATTTGAAAACAAAGAGTCACTGTTGTTTACTGGAGGAGATTCACCTTCAAGACCAAGTTGTAAATAACTTAGAAAAGTGGTGCGATCTGATAAAGCATTATCCAGAGGATGATAATGTGTGAAACAGCCATAATTATGAGGCTGGTGTCGTGATCTCTCACCCTAAGTAAGCGCAGATTTCGTTTGATTTTAAAATTAAGAAACTAAACTGAAACAGTTGTTGCTTAATTTATTTGGTGACTTCAAATATGTAAGGTAATCGTAAGCTTGGCAAACAGCTTTGGAGAATTTGATGAGTCTGATTCCAGCGACGTTCCAGGGACAGACGAGTCTTCGCTGAGGCCATCTTCCTGCCTAAACCACGGCGAATGAAGCTCTGCACAAGACTTTTGGCCAGCGGAGAAATTAAAATGGTCTTGCCCAACTGAGTCTGGTTCCCTCAAGGTTTTTTTTCTTCACTCCCATCAGGTGAAGTTTTTTTTCCCTCTCCGCTGTCGCCACTGCCTCGCATGGTTCAGGATTGGTAGAGCTACGCATTGATGAATTTGCTCTTCAGTGTTTGAACTCTCAGTAATGATTAAATCACACTGAACTGAGCTAAACTGAACTGAACTGAACTTAAACACTAAAACCTGAACCACACTGTTCCAGTTACTATGACCATTTATGTGAAGCTGCTTTGACACAATCTACATTGTAAAAGCGCTATACAAATAAAGCTGAATTGAATTGATGTTTTCCCATTCAGACAGAATGCTCGAGCATACTGCCCGAGTGGCGTTTCTAAGATGGCCGCCGAATTAATAGCTTGCCTTTTAAGGAACTTCTGTATTTCAGAAACTGTAGATCTACTGGGAATTTCATGCACAGCCATCTCTAAGGTTTACAGAGAAAATATAAAATAAAAAAGAGAGAAATCCTATGTGAGAAGCTGTTCCTTGGGGTGAAAATGTGGATGTTATACTTCAGAGGAAAATTGCCTGACTTGTTTAGTTGATAGAACGAAATCAGTAACTCAACTGAGGTCGTTGAAGAGCATGTCTGAAGACACAGTGCATTAAAGCTTGAAGCGGATGAGCTACAGCAGCAGGCGATCACAGCTAAAACAGGAAACATATTTTTTTGTATCAAACTCACAGCATATAAGCCACAAAAGCAGAAAAACTTCAACCACTTACACGTATAACAGGAAACTGCAGCTGGCTGTACAATTCACAGACTCACACCCAGACACAGACACACTTAAATTACAGGAACTAATAGATAATATTCTGTAAAAACCTCTTACTAAATGACCTTAACAAACCCCTAATCCTAAATACAACCCTCATAGAAAAAACACAGCAATGGTTTACAACAATGGAAAACAGCTAAGTCATACTCACTATACAACTTTATGTTGCCATAAACCACATAAACCTGACCACACAGAAACCTACACATATACAGAAACACAGCAGTTAAAACAAATATTGAACATGTAAGGATTTTTCTCAGTACAGTTTTTAAAGTGATTGTTGAAACAAAATGTTTACCATATTTCTGGAAAAACCCAAACAAGCATATACAAATACAATCTAGAAATCTAAAATTGTTGTGTAATATCAATGAAACAACACAAAGAGAAAGTACGCTACTGCTGAAATTTATTAAATTATATGCTTAAAATGCTTGGTAAGCCAGCATCAATATGTCTCTTTTAGTTGAAAGTTGAGAGGTTATTTGACTGTATTTGAGATCATTGTCTTGAAATGTCCACCTTGTATCACCTTCATTAGCCAAGTATTGTAGATGGTAGGACTGAAGCAGATAATATTAATTTACACTGACGAGGGGCAGGGGTGCAAAGTCAATTAGAAATATATTTTCTGAGAAAAATTGTGTCGTGTTCAATACTTATTTTACCTGCTGTATATACAGTTGAAGTCAGAATTATTAGCCCCCTTGTTTTTTCCCCAATTTCTGTTTAACATAGAGCAGATTTTTTTAAACACATTTCTAAACAAAAGTAAAACATAAACAAAATTCATTTCTAATAACTGATTTATTTTATCTTTGCCATGATGACAGTAAATAATATTTTACTAGATATTTTTAAGACACTTATATACAGCTTAAAGTGACATTTAAAGGCTTGACTAAGTTAATTAGTTCAACTAGGCAGGTTAGGGAAATTAGGCAAGTTATTCTATAATGATGGTTTGTTTTGTAGACAGTCGAAAAAATATATAGCCTAAAAGGGCTAATAATTTTGAAAAATTACAAACTGCTTATATTCTAGCTGAAATAAAACAAATAAGACTTTCTCCAGGAGAAAAAAAATATTATCAGACATACTTTAACACTTTCCTTGCTCTGTTAAACATCATTTGGGAAATATTTAACAGAAGAAAAACAAATTCAAAGGGGAGCTAATAATTCTGACCTAAACTGTATATATATATATATATATATATATATATATATATATATATATATATATATATATATATATTATAGCAATCTTTTTCTCAATATTTGTTGATCTGACAATTAAGTTGGATTACAGTATGTCTATTATAAAAAGCCAACAAAAACATAAACAAATATATCATAACATACATATTTACAATCTGTGATTTTAGTTGTCAAAAAAAAGATACTGGTAAATAACAAGCACCTTAATGAGTACTGAGCTTGAAGAAAGTTCAGGTCCTTCAGTTTTGCTTTTGTTTTCCCACATGGCTAAAATAGGTCAAGACATTGCTTGGTGTGTGACTGGTGTAATAAGGCCAGGTAGTGAAACTCTATTTGTAAAGTTCTTCTGGGTGAAGTTTGCAAACATATTCAGTTCCTAAATATTATTTGTATTAACCCAGTGCTACAGTTTACTATATTAATGGCCATCCATGTATTTGGTGATGACACATAAATAATACTATTATTATCATCATCCTTTTACACTTTTTTTGTATCCACCCAAGAAAGCCAAACATTTGCGATCGATTAACCAGTGGAAAATCTCACCTCGACCAGCATGTTTCCTACTGCTAGTTCTCAACACTCACAAAGACAATCTCAAGTGCTCTGCAGAGATTGCATTTCTTTTTTACAGCTGGCTGCACGAACAAAGCAGCAAGAGAAACATTAAATGATTAATTATTTAATAAACAACTCAGACAAACTTTAGTCCTACTATATACTCAGTGAAGGGTAGATTCAACCAGTAAGAGAGCTGCTTAGGGTTAAGGGTCCCTGAAAAATGCTGAGAAGCAAATATTAATCATATAGCTAAGCTTATACATTTTTATCATTTATTATAAAATCTCTCTATAAGCATTACAATTTGAAAATTATTATATACTTCTTTTCAAAAGTGGCACGTTTCATCCATACTGCACTTGCAAATATTAAACTCTAATCACAAATGTGGCTTATTTGTAAATTTATTGTATTTAATTTACATTAAGAAGACAAAGGTTCCACTTAAAATATATTTTTAATGTGCTTTACAAGAAAACAAAAATAAAATATCTATAGAGAAAAAGAATGCTTTGTGTTTCAATGCTATAGGGCCCCATACCTGGAATTGCTTAGAGCCCCCAAATCACTAAGTCCATCCCTGACAGAACAAAATGACATCTATGGTTGCAAATTTGTACACTTTTAGAAATGGTTAATCAACTAATTTGCCTTATTTAAATAATCTACACATATTATTCATGTAATTATTAGAATTTTTAGCAGTATTGTCTATTTTTAAACATACCTTGTAGTACCTTTCTAAAAAAATGCTTTAAGCAACTTTAGAGACATGACTCCTAAATATCCTAAAAGTAAGGGAAATAGTGGATTTCGTTTATTTCAACAGCCTTTTTAATGAGCCATTGAAAAGGAAAAAAAGGTGTATAACAGTGTCATAATAAATAATAATATAGTTAAAAACACTTTTTTGTCGCATGTGGTTGACCATTTATGTGCTGTGGGTGATATGAGTGTTTTAATCAGGCTACCACGAGTGATTTCAAACTCGTGGGAAGCACTGATTGACCATTTATTAATGCGTGTGGCTTTAGCTTTAAATGGAAACACAATAAAAATACACTATTTATTCTAAGAATGCAATGAAGCATCAAGTAAATCCTGTCAATCTGTAAAAAGGGTTTAAGCAAAAGTACAAAAATAACATCAAATCGCAAATATTTGAAATGTGAAGTTTTATCAAAAAGGTCAACACCGAACTTCTAGACTAGTCCATTGATAGTTTGGCACATAACATGTTGCTACTTGTATGGATGATAAAAGAATCATTTAATTCACTGTTCATAATCCAGTGGAAAAGAAGAAATATGTTATCACACAAAGAGTCTTCATTCATCTCTAACTGATGGCAAGTTCATGCTTTAGTGAAGGAGACACTTGAGGAGAAACGACAGATTGTCTGGATCGTCTGCACTTTACAAAAAACTTCATCAAAAACTCATCACTGTTAAACAGATAGAGAAGCGGGTTGATGGCACTATTCATGCACGCCAGTCCATTTCCAACCTGGTTTGCAATATATACATCTGCGTACCATTTCAGACACGTGCCGTCGAGCTTGGAAATTCGAGTTGCCAGGTTCATATTTCTAAATATATGAAAAGGAGTGAAACAAATGGAGAAGAGCAAAATCAGGATGACAACCAGCCTCAGACACCTCAGCTTCAAGATGATATCGATGTCTTTCTTTGTCAACAGAGTGAACGCCACATGTCCGTAGCAGCAGAGCATGATTAACAACGGGATCCCGAATCCAACGACCGTCCTCCCGATGCTGTACTTGAGGTATTCCCTCATGTACTTGTCCGAAGTCGTGTCATAGCATGACGTTGCGTTGTCGGAGGTTTTGACAAAAAACAAATCAGGCAGAGACTGAAGCAACACCAGAAGCCATACTAGCAAAGCAACCAAGACGGAGAACCTCGCTGTAATTCTGCCTTTAACTCTTAAAGTGTGGACGATGCCCAGGTACCTATAAACGCTGATGCAGGTGAGGAAACCGATGCTGCCATACAGGTTGATGCAGAAACACAATCTTAAAATCTTGCAGAAAGCATGTCCAAATATCCATTTGTGCTCGGATGCGTAGTAAACCACAAAAAAAGGCAAAGTGAGAAGATATAAAATGTCTGCCCCGCAAAGGTTAAGCATGAAGATATTCACGTTGCCCATTTTCGTCCAGTTCTTATATATAGATTTTAGTCCCAAACAGTTTCCCATAACTCCAAGAGTGAAAACACTCACGTAGACTGAGGGCAAAAATCTAAACGTAAAGTCAAAATTGACCAATTTACAGGTAGAGTTGGACTCCATTATTGGTAAAAGATGATCATCCGATGTTCTTGATGGAGTTATAGCTGTTTTGAGGTGCAGTATAGGATGACATTCTTGTAAATGGAAATGTGTCACAGGAAGTGAGAACGCTCACTGACGTAGCCTACCACAATTTTAAAAAAGAAGAACTATGCACTTTGAACTTGATCTAATCTCCAAAGATTATAGAAGAAAATTTATGACAGAAATAGCTGTTTATTTTTTCTGTCGCTCATAAAGAAGATATGCTATTACTTATATTTAGCCCACCCACAAAGTGGAAATTGAAAAAAGGAACTATTGTAGGCTACTTCTGGTTTTGAATTCAAATACCACCCTTTTTATCACTGTAAGGCCCTCCATAGTTAACAAAAAAAGTTCTAATGCCAATTATGCCGTTCAAAAAAAATGGAGAAGCACATTTAAGAGGGCACTCTACCATAAAACCACAGCCAGCTGCAAGATTCAGAACTGAAAACAAAAAAGTTTAAAAAAAAAAAATAAATAAAAAAAAATATATATATATATATATTATTTTTAATGCTATTCTGGAATGCCCACATCCTAAATCGGGATTATTGTGACGTTTACATGCATCATTGATGTAGGAAGAATTAGAAATATTTGCCTGACCTGAGAATTTGGATTTATGTTGATTAAGAAACAGTGTAATTTCTTAACATGTTTTGTTATACAACAAGTAATAATAAAACTCTAACAATATTCATTCAACATTAAGTGTTGTATTGTTCTCTTAAACCACAGGATCTGGTTCTGCTTGCCATTTGAGTAAAGCAATTACTAACAGAGAGCATTGATGGTGCTGTGAATTTAGCCCATCACAACTATGGCCAATTATTTCTTTTTCTGCTAAAGGTACAGTAACAACCTTTGTGTTTTGTTTGTTTTTTTAAGTGAAAATGAGGATTGAAAGTTTCATTTTTACAAATAAACCTTGACCATTTTTGGTGCTTAAAACTGCAAACTTTATAAACCTTAATATGTAAAATATAAAATTTAAAAACTACATTTCATGGCCCTACCTATTAACCCATATAAGTGGTTGCAAAGGGCCGCCGTAGCCACCAGGGGGGCCCATTCCATGGATTAAAGGGATAGTTCACCCCAAAATGAAATCATAATGTCTTCTGTTGAACAGAAAATATAGTTACATAAAAAATGCTGGTTGATGGTACCAATAGATTTCCACAATCTTTTTTTCCTTACTATGAAAGTCAAAAATACCTTCAAACAACATTTTTTTTTAAATATCTGCTTTGTCTCATAGGAAACTCATAAAGGTTTAAAACCACATGAGGGAGCGTAGTAATTTTCAGTTTTAGGTGAACTCATTTTTAGGTGAAATCCCTTTAGGACTATGCATTCATGTTTGTACATAAAGGGGCAGTAATATCAGTTTGGTTCAGTGAAGAGAGAACAAATAAGCAAGTCTAGACTATTTGAGAAATTTAGCTTGGGGTCCCCCAAATTCTAGGGCCAACTCTGGGACCACATGGTGTATTTAACTTTGTTAATAATAAAATAATGTATAATAAAATCCTAGATTAAATCAAAATGTAAATTAAACTTAATTAATTCATTCATTAATTAATTAATTCATTCATTCATTCATGAATACAATTAATTAATTCTAAAATAATACCCTTCCATCCACAACCCATCACTGGTAAACATTCATACACACTCATACACTATAGCCAATTTAGTTTATTCAATTCACCATACCTATACATGTCTTTGGACTGAAACCGGAGCATACGGAGGAAACCCACATGAACATGGGGAGAACATGCAAACTCCAGAAAGAAATCCCAACTGACCCAGCTGGGACTCAAAGCAGCAACCTACTTGCTGTGAGGCAACAGTGCTAGCCACTGAGCCACCGTGTCACCCCCAAAACTAACTTATTTAAGCATCAAATTCAAGAACATTATAGTCGCACTTCCTCGAAAATACAAGAGAGGGCAGCCTTATGCTTCTGAACATTTTAGAGCAAGAAATTTATCTTGGAAATTGAACTTGAAGCCAAAGAAAAGCATTTAGGTACAACTTTATTATTGAGAATTTTTGAGAGACCAGGTTTGTATGAAGTTTGACATGTTTTGTCTGCATTCTTGTAAGGTGGCAAATGACAGTGCAATAAGACTTGAAATACAGTCCACAAATATTCTAGAATTAATGACAGAAACATACAGACATAAAAAATTAATTACAAATATATACAGTTTTTTTTTTTTTTTTTTTTGCATGAAACTAGTAAACATGGAAATAGTTTTTGTGGGTTTTTAAATAAAGTCTACAGTAAAAACATGTGAGAACGCCATACTTCAGGCATTGGTTAGGTCTAAGTCGAGACAGTTATTATTAAAATGAAGTACTTCTGCTTTTTATGTTTATATGTTGTTGTTTTTTGCTGCTGCTTAGATAATTTTAGTGAAAGGGGATACCATTTAGTTTTTTATTTTCCATTTCAATTTCTTTGTAAGATAATAGCTTTGGAATTCAATAATAGCCACAGATGTTGTCTAGTATCCTCGCATAAAACTAATAAAGACAATGTCTACTATTATACATCTGTTCGGTATTTTTCAAGTGAATTGAAAGTAATTTTTTCTCTGACTCAAAGAACAGCTGCCATTGTGTAAACCCCACAGACTAAAAAAACATTAAAAATGAAATCTCTGGCAGATCTTTAACTCATAAACTATTTCATTTAACAAAGAAGTCTATCTGAATCACAGTGCTTAAAACACTGCTGCAAAATCTCAGATGGCTTACATGTTTTGTTAAAGAGGGTTTTTTTTAGTGAGTAAAATCCTGAGTTAAAGCTGAGTCAACACTGTATGATTTATTAGCGTCTTTTACAATTGTTGCTTGTCAGACTGTAAGAACATGTTCCCAGCTAATGTCACACTGTGGGTTGTCATTAATGTCAGACTGTATGACAGTCAAGACTTGATAATAATAGAAATATTCAAGTGTTAGTGTTGTCTTGAAATGGTGGCAGTGAAACTCATTGACAAGAAAAATGGCATTTACCCTTATTAATTTAGAAAATGCCAGCTTAGAAATGAAGACTACAACAACATTAAGAGGCAAATTATTGTGAGAAGTGCTAGTAAACAATATAAAGTTGTAAACACTGTTTAGAAAAATGAAATATCAGCTAGATTTAAGATTTAGGAAGCAAAAAGTAAAGAGATTCAAAAACCTGGATGCAGTTAAGTGCTTACAGAAGAAATGAGTTTTCAGCTCTCTCTTGGGTATTTTCAGGGATTCTCATGGGTTTGGGAAGATTATTTCACCAGAGGCATTGAACAGTTGCAGAACACGTTTTGAAAATTCAAATGGCTGCAAGCAATCATTTTCATGGCACCAATTAGGATGTGTGTGGAGCAGTTGGTGGTTTGTTGTTGTCTGATTGTTTGTTGTGTTATGAGATTATGTGCTGACATTCGCTGATTTGGCGATCTGACAAAGCATTTGACTGATTTCAGTGGTCGTTAATCTGCTGTCCGTGAGCGTGCTAAACTGGCTATCAAAGATTCAGAGGAATCAAGGATTTGCAAACTTGAAACTTGATTGAAATCGTTTTAACAAAGGGAAGGGGAAAAAATCTGACTACTTAAATTGTACAGTTTGCACCTGACCTAAAGGATATGCTTTAAACAATTATATTTACTTTGTTAAAAGCAGATGCTTTGTTAAAAGCAACACTATGTAGCTTCTTTGCTCCCCCTTGTGGTAGATTAGTGCAATTGTCTGCTACCAGTAGCCATGCTTCCATCCAAATATACAAATTAGATTTATGGGCAAAACTGGGATATTGCATAAAACTTTTGTGAATAAAGCACTGTTTCCATTCAGTAAGTTAAAGAGAACCAAATTGTCACTTCCTTAGAAACTGTTGCAAAATATCTAAAAGCGAAATTAAATTTGCTGTGGTAAGAGAAACCACTGCAGGCCTTTTTCAAATGAAATAAATTACTAGCGCCTTAGAAGACAAAACGCATTAAATGTGCAAGACCGCTGTTTCGGAGCGCAGTCACTCAAGACAGGTCTTGGCAAATAATAATATGGAACCACTTTGATGACAGACTTTAGCTTAAGGATTTTAGAGTGACTGAAACAACATTTTAGATGTGTGCAATGTGGTCAGTTTCAATGCTGTCTCATCATGTCTATAACATGACCTGTTTAACAAAAATGTATGATGCACATGCTGGAATTTTTTTGATAAATGCATTTCTATTGTTGTTTATACACATTTTTTCTCATCTGATTAAAAGAGTAAATTTTTATACACATTTTAAAAATGCATGTGCATCTTGATGTTTCCATTAAGAATTTTTATTCAGTATTTCAAAATACCATCAAAATAAATGGATGGAAACATAGTGTGAGATTCTGTTGCTGATTAAGCGTCTTTATAGGCAGCACAACTCTCCAACAGAATCTGAACGTAGACTTGGATTTGCAAGCTGAGACTGCATATCTTAGACTTGCAATGTCAGACACAATGCACTCAATGGGGTTGATGATGTCACTGTGAGGGTGGGGTTTGATGTGGACATTAAAAAGCATTGCGTGCAGCTCACCTTGCAACTGCAGCAAGTGTGCATCCAGAATCTTTCCAAAAAACAGTAATTTGTTATCTATGAGCTGGCAGAACTGTCAAATAAGAAAACCTCATTTGATATAATCTGAGACATTATTTTAAGGTGAAAAACTGCAGTGTTGCTTCAATTGTTGCTTTGCTAACCACATTTTTCAACTGTGTTTATTTTGCAATTGAGTATATGCACACGCACTTTTAATTTCAGTCAGCCAGCACCAGGGCTTCTGGAACAGGGTCATCCCATACAAATTTGCAGCATTTAAGATCTGATTTCTTTAAAAAACAGCGATCTTCACTACCTGGCTGAGATACGATATAAAATGGTTATCAGGCCAAACAACAGTTAAATTATATTTTTCCGCACCATGTCTTTAAAATATGGAAATTATTTTTATCGCAGTATTTTCAAAGGCGTTTCTGGGCTAGCCTGCTGAAAATGACGGCACCTGCTTTTAAATGTTTTTTCCTTCTATTTTTACTCTTTAACAACCAAATGGATGCTTAAGTCTCTTTAACTAATTATATTTGAATTACATAGTCACATAAACCATTCACCAGAAGTTCATCATTGGCTGAAAAACACTAGCTGTGCATATAGCTCATTGCGAGGAAAGTGCATGTTTGGACATCATGTTAAAAATGTTGTTTGTTTATGTATATTGCTGAAATATATTCCTAATTTCTTTTCACTTCTAAGCAACACATGAAAAGAATCAGTATAGCGGAGCTAGCTTAAATCACATTCAGTCTTTTGTTTGTTATATGTATGCTGCAGTTCACTAAACGGCCACTGGCGTCACTATTAACAATAGTTTCTGAATTCTACAAATAGTCCATTTAACACTTGATACAATATATAAAACTTCAGCATCCAATAGGAAGGTACTAGATCCAGAGTCAGCCTATATATTAGAGTGAGTGCCTAACCCCAGAATGATGTTCCTCTTGATGAATAGGGGCAATTGTAATGGCAGATGCAGGAGTTGATGGTCATGACAGCATGATTGAGCAGTCTTCCTCCAGGGCAGCGGAAAGTGACCATTGCCGTGCCAGTCTGGTATGGTGTACAACAACGGTTGTCTGTACATGAGCCGCAATAACGCGGCCTGTAGAACCGTGTGCTGTAGCAGCCCTGGTGGAAAAGCCGCACTGGAGTCGCTGACCTGTAGCTGGGTTGACATTTCCTTCTTGACCACTGAAACACAGAAGCGGGGCTTGATTAGTGAATGTTGTGAATGGCAAGAACTGCTTCCTATATGGAGACTTACCTGTGGGCTTCTGTGGAGGACAGGCTGGCAGGGTCGGATCATACACAAGCGCATCTGCATCTCCAAGACACAGGACGGGTTTTGGTTGGACACCCGTACGGATATTCCAGACCCGCAGGTACGCGAGCAAGCACTCCACTCTGAGCTCTGGTCTATACAGTTTGACACGACTCTTGTTTGGTATCCAGAGTCTGCAGGCAATGTCAGGTCACTTTTGGAGGCTGGCAACACAAACACATTTCAATTAAACATACACAGCAATTCTTTTAAAACGTAATGGACAACATTGAAACGGTCAAATACTGACTGTCGTATCAGTTTAGCCAGATTACTTTAATTTTAAGTGATTAACATATATTATGTTTTCAAAAGTGATTCAGTCCTAAAACATGGACATTACAAAATGTTGTCAATATATAATACATTTATGAGGCTGGACCACAAAACCACTCAGAAGTCTCAATTTCATGAAAGCTGAATAAGGTTTCCGTTGATGTATGTTTTGCTAGAATAGGACAATATTTTAGCTTCAACTAATTGAAAATCTGGAATCTGAGGGTAATATATATCAATATATTGAGAAAATCACGTCTATTGTCACTTCTAAAATGAAGCCATTGCATTTGGGAACAGAGATGAGGTTCTCAAGGTGAATGCATACCTTGGCTCAAGGGGTCAAACAACAAAAAATAAAGTTAAGAATCTTGGTGTGATTCTGGAGTCAGATCTGAACTTCAATAGTCATGTCAATGCAGTAACTAAATTAACATACTATCATGTCAAAAACACTGCAATAATTAGATGCTTTGTTTCTATTGAGGAATTACAGAAACTTGTTCATGCTTTTATCACCAGCAGGATGGATTACTGTAATGGACTCCTCACTGGCCTTCCCAAAAAGACAGTCAGACAGTTGCAGCTCATCCAGAACGCTGCGGCCAGGATTCTAACCAGAACCAGAAAATCAGAGCACATCACACCTGTCCCTAGGTCTTTACACTGGCTCCCAGTTCAAAAATAGTATATGCATTTGTTGTAACATAGGAATCATTTTTTTATTATTTTTGTCTCTTTTTCTTTTAATCAAACAATTATTCGTATTGGTCATGTAAGGGTCATATATTAACTGAACTACTGTTGTGTGTGAGTGCTGTGCATACTAATTAGCATTTTTGCAGAAGTAGATAGATGCGGGTCCAAAATTAATTCAGCTCTGCAGAAACAATGACTGACAAGTGACGTTACACCAAAACTCCACCTGTTAAGATCAGTTGTGTATATATGCTGGAGTCAGGAAATGTATGTGAGTTGCGAACCTTTTGAATGTAATTCTTGTATTGCATTGGGGTAATGTAACCCAGAGCTCTGTCATCAAATTATTCATTTGTACGTAATAAATTACTAATATTTTTGGCATTGAAGAAAAAACTCTCCTGACCTTTTCTTATTGAACACGCATGGAATGGTTTGTTATTCCAACACATTATAAAATAGAAATTCAAAGCAGCTTTACACTATTAAACAGGAAAGTATCAGAACTGATGCAAAATGTAATAAAAAAAATATCCAAGTTGTGCTATAAAGAAGCTGAAGCAAGCAAACTGTGTCATTTGATCTTGATTTTGGATTCAGTTCAGTCATAATAAAACAAGCTCAAGTGCTGTTCAACAAGTTCAGTTCCATCAAATCAATGTTATTGCTTAATATTAAGTGTCTCTTAGATCCCAGCTCAGAAAGCCAAAAGCAATAGTGGCAAGAAACCCAAACTCTATCAGGTGAGAGAAATGGAAAAAGAAGAAAGTTTGGTTCAGAAAACAGGTTCAGTCTGTGGAACAGTACTCGCATATGCTAAATGAATGAACATGGCAGTTAACACTCCACAGATGTATCATTTCATCGAATAAAAAGTTTTTACAGATGGCTAAATAAAAAAAACTGACAACACATGAAAATTAGACAAAAAAGTTAGAGATTTACTATCACTTACATGGATAAGTAGCCACAATATCTACTTTGCTTTTCACGTAAACACAGTTAGTTATGTCTTAATTGAACGCAAGGAGAATATTGCATGTATGTTGTAGATATGCATGAATTATTAAAATGCCTGATAAACCTGCTTCTGTCTGTCAATGATGATGACTTTTGAAAGATGTTTAATTATTTGTTTGTATTGAGTTAATGGATAAAAAAAAAAACTAAAACTGTATTAGGTCGACTAAATCTATCATAGAATGTGTTGGATAAAATATTACATTTTATTTTATATTTAAAACTAAAGCAACATTAGATTAATAATAATAATACTAATTTATTCATAATTTTCTTTTCAGTTTAGTCCCTTTATTAATCTCGGGTCGCCACAGCGGAATAAAACACCACTTTATCCAGCATATGTTTTACGCAGCAGAGGCCCTTCCAGCTGCATCACTGAAAAACATCCATACACACTCATTCACACACATACCCTACAGACATTTTAGCCTACCCAATTCACCTGTAGCTCATGTTTTTGGACTTGTTGGACTTGAAACCGGAGCACCCGGAGGAAACCTACGCGAACACGGAGAGAACATGCAAACTCCACACAGAAAAGCCAACTGAGCCAGCCGAGGCTCGAACCAGCGACCTTCTTGCTGTGAGGTAAACGTGCTACCCACAGCGCCTTCGTGCAGCCTATTTATTTATGGATGAAAATTAAACTAAACGTAAAACTGAATTAGGCCATCTAAATCTATCTTGTAGACTGTGTTGGATACTAATACTAATAGGTGTGGCATGGCTCTTCTCAGTATAATATCTATATAATGTTTTCTTACGTAGTTAAAAAACATCTTAGGGATTTAAAAAAAAGTCTATGTCGTTTTGATTAGTTAGGTAGACATTAAAATAGAGAGCTGAAGTCAAAATTTCAAAAAGTGTCCTAGATTACCCGAATTCACCCCACATATTACCTTTAAAACTAAAGCTATATTACTAAAATACTTAGCAGTCAAAAGACTATTACTTAAACAAAATTAATATTAGTTCGGCTTTGTCCATATTTTCAAAACATTGGGTTATGACAAACCATTAGTTTTTGTACTATTAGATCCATTAAAATCCATAAATTTTATTTTGACAAAAGGTTTAAGTTACTAAAATGTTCTTAACTAAGGCATCACAGTGAAAACTCTATTTTTAAGAATAAGCATGCTATGTTTTGATCATGTAACAAATAAGTCAATGCAAGTTTGCTTCAAAAAATAGCTAAATGGCAAATGGTTAACATTATCCAATAACTCAAGCCATCCAAGTGACGTCAGCTGAGAAGGAATGTAATTTCAGAGGAATTTTGATGAAGCGCTATGAAAAAAATGAAGACTTTAAGAAGTAACATGTACAGTAAGTCATGGAATGTGTATTGGAAAGTCAAGTTTATACTGATTTTACATCGAGTATTAATTCTGCTTTTCTTGAACATTTGAGAGTTGAGGTAATCAGCTTCTCCATCTTACGATCATTGTTATAACAGGAGAAGGAATACCAAATACCTTTATCCCGAAGAGATAATAATCAACCATTTATTGGCGGTGTTTAAAGCACATGGATCAGTTAACGTCTCCACTGCAAACACACTGAGAACAAAATGTACCAGTTCAGCTGATGTAACTTGGGTGACATTGATTTCCAACACACTCCTGACAGTGTTTCACTCTCTTTCTGCAGTTTAATTGTTGCGTTACACAGACATGAGTCCTGTTATGAATCATGGAAAGTTGGCTCAAGCAAGAAGCCAGTATTTGTGCTTTTAGGTTCCATCTTGGCAAGACCTTTTCAATTAAATGGTCAAAATCCCAGTGAAAACCTCAGACTGGAATTTAATTGAGAGTTCTCAGATAGGGATTCAAAATCAAAACATGTAAAAAACATTTATGCATAATCCTTAAAGAAAAGATGCTTTTTTTTTATTCCAGCTTACTCTCAAAAAGTGACATTTGCTGTTTGTTCAAACTTCTTATGTAAAATGAGTTGAAACAACACTATTATTAAGTATTTTAGTAGTTTTATGTTCAATCCACATACATTTGTTAAAATTCAATCATTAATTTTTCTTCGGCTTACTCATTTATCAAGGGACCCCACAGTGGAATGAGCTGCAAACTATTCCAGCATATGTTTCAACTATCCAAAACCCGCTGAAATGCCAAAACAACCGCCTAGAAATCTGGAAGCTGTCATATGTGGTTCTTAAGTTGACCTTCTTGGGGGGGTTGCAAAACTGAACAGATTTTTTTCTACCTGACTATGTCATTTTTTTTTACCATCAAAATCACATTCAAATCCACCCAATCTGTCAACACATGTGAGGAGGGGGGGTCAGTAAATTGAGGTGCCGGATTCGATTTCGGAGGGGCCGGATCCGGAAGCGGCTTTTTCCGGCACAAATTAACCACGGTGTTTTACGCAGCGGATTCCCTTCATATCGCATTTCAGTATAGGGAAACACCCATAAACTCTCACATTCACACACACACACACACACACACACTCATACATATGGCCAATTTAGCTTACCCAATTCACCTATACTGCATGTCTTTGGACTGTGGGGGAAAACGAAACACCTGGAGGAAACCCACACAAACATGGGGAAAACATGCAAACTCCACACAGAAAAGCCAACTGGCTTAGCCGGGACTCCAACCAGTGATTTTCTTGCTGTGAGGTGACAGTGAGCCACTGAGCCACTGAGCCACTGTGCCACCCCATTTGTAAAAATGATCAAGTTAACTTAATTGATTTGTGTTGGGACAGCATGAAGAAATTAAACAGCATTTTTAAGAGTGCACTTGAAATAAAATTACAACAACACTATTGATATTAACGGCAGCACGGTGGCGCAGTGGGTAGCATGCTATAGGTGAAGTGGGTAAACTAAATTGGCCATCGTGTATGTGAGTGTGTGCAAGAGTATGTGTGTGTTTCCCAGCGGCTGGAAGGGCACCCACTGCGTAAAACATTTGCTGAATAAGTTGGTGGTTCATTCCGCCGTGGCGACCCCTGATTAATAAAGGGGCTAAGCCGAAAAGAAAATGAATGAATGAATGAGAATTAATATTATTTCTTTATGAAATACCTATGTGAGCATCCTGAAGCACAGTGTTGTCCAGATTTTCACACACCCACTCTTTACAGCATTTTCCTGGTGGTTGAACTCTTCGAGGATGAGGGCAGTCTGGTGTGGGCAGGAGAACATCCTCACGGCACTGGGGCACACAGGTCACCCCTCCACCCGAACATTGGCACTGGAGAGAACAGGAGGGCTGAAATACCTGACCTTCCTGGTAAGAAACTCCATTGAGCTCACAGCCCAGCTCCTTCTGACCTAAAACAAGAGTTTAGAAGATTACACTGATGATAGTACTACAGTAGATTTAATGACCAAGACTGATCAGGCTATAGGCTGCTTTTACTGTGCATACATCATACTGTTTCATTCATTCATTCATTCATTTTCTTTTGGCTTAGTCTCCAATTCAGAGGACGCCACAATGAAACAAACCGTCAACTATTTCGTCATATGTTTTGCACAGCGGATGCCCTGGGAAAGGGCATACACACTTATTCACACACATACCAATTTTCTTATACAGTTGAAGTGAGAATTATTAGCCCCCCTGAATTATTAGCACCCCTGTTTATTTGTTCCCCAATTTCTGTTTAATGGAGAGAAGATTTGTAAACATAACAGTTTTAAAAGCTCATCTCTAATAACCGATTTTATCTTTGCCATGATGACAGAAAACAATATTTGACTAGATTTTATACAGCTTAAAGTGCCATTTAAAGGCTTAACTAGGTTAATTAGGTTAACTAGGCAGGCTAGGGTAATTAGGCAAGTTATTGTATAATAATGGTTTGTTCTGTTGACTATCGAAAAAAATATAGCTTAAAGGGGCTAATCATTTTGTCCTTAAAATGGCTTTTTAAAAATTAAAAGCTGCTTTTATTCTTGCCGAAATAAAACAAATACGACTTTATCCAGAAGAAAAAATATTATCAGACAAACTGTGAAAATTTCCTTGCTTTGATAAACACCATTTGGGAAATATTTAAAATAAAATAAAATAAAAAATCAAAGGGGGGCTAATAATTCTGACTTCAACTGTATATTCAATTCACCTATAAGTGCAGGTCTTTAGACTGTTGGGGAAACCGGAGCACATGAAGGAAATTCATGCCAACCCAGGGAGAACATGCAAACTCCACACAGAAATGCCAACCTCAATTCTTGAGGTTGTTATGGAACAACGTAATTGTTTTATATTCAATCTACTTACATTTATAAAAACTGACTTAACTGTTCCATGTTGTCCCAACACATATCCATTGTGTGGAACCCAGCATTTTTTATTTACTTTTTTTCTTTTACAGTGAATGACTTTTTGCTGACTGTTCTAACTAGTAAAATGAGAAAAAAAACACTATTATTAAGTATTTTTGGGGGACAACTTAATTGTCTTATGTTTAATCCACATACATTTGTAAAAATTCAATCATTAATTTTTATTCAATCATTCAATATTGTTTATTATGGGTCACCACAGCAGAATGAACCGCCAATTATTAAGGAATAATTTGAGTTGGATATATTGATTATCAAATCAGTAAAACTATGGCAAAATTAATATGATAAGTCAACAGCTGAAATAAAATTTAGTGGAGGTGGATGAGGAGATTCCCCCAAAAATATGCAAAGTGCTTTAAGTGTCCAGAAAAGCACTATATAAATGTAAGGAATTATTATTATTATAAATAAATAAAGCTAATTTTTAATAGCTTAAAATGACAAATCTAAAAATTAAATGCAGTTTTATTGAAATAACATGAGGTGTGAAAATAAAACTTATGTTTGATATTTCTTTTAATAATCTATCTGTCTGTTTGTCTGTCTGTCTGTGTGTTTATCTATCTATCTATCTATCTATCTATCTATCTATCTATCTATCTATCTATCTATCTATCTATCTATCTATCTATCTATCTATCTATCTATCTATCTATCTATCTATCTATCTATCTATCTATCTATCTATCTATCTATCTATCTATCTGTCTGTTTGTCTGTCTGTCTGTGTGTTTATCTATCTATCTATCTATCTATCTATCTATCTATCTATCTATCTATCTATCTATCTATCTATCTATCTATCTATCTATCTATCTATCTATCTATCTATCTATCTATCTATCTATCTATCTGTCTGTCTGTCTGTCTGTCTGTCTGTCTGTCTGTCTGTCTGTCTGTCTGTCTGTCTGTCCAATATTCAATTAATCAATCAATACAATCTCAGGATAAATAAAATACCTATACAGACAAATTCAAATCAGCAGTGTCAATAACAGCTATACGATCTTATGGTTGTAACTGTGTTTTACAATGTTGAAACCTGAAACATTGATCTGGTTGTGGAAACTCACTGACACACTCTCCCGGCTCTCCAGGAAAGCTGGCGCTGTAGTCACACTGCAGACCACGCTGACCATCACAGGGAAACACCTCACTGCAGGCCTCCCCCTGCTGTCGGGCACACACCTGGCAGCACTGGCACCCGTCGAGAATGAGAGGAACTCCTTCTGGACAGGATGGCACAGAGCCTTGGCACTGACATGAGCTGCCACACTGCTGACAGCACACCTAAGACAGCATACACAGCATCACACTCTACGTAAGGTAAGGTCTCAGTTAGTTCATTAGATATTGTACACAGCCAGTGGCTCGAGAACCATGCAGATTCATTCATCCAGAGTGATTCATTGGAACCAACAAACATTAATCACTCAAAATCACCTTTAACTGAATTTTTATTTTTGGTTAAACAGCAACCAACCATCTTGGCAATGATTACATAATTATGCAAAATAAAAATATAGCATAACACACTTTCCATCACATGTGTGTGTTCAAGAGAATAAAACCATCACTTCCTGGAAAACTAGCTCAACGTATTATTATAATAATACATACAATTAACATTTATGCAAGCGGGGAAACCACATAAGTTAAGTTACAAATTTGGCCAGGATGGCGGGGTTAAACCCCTACTCCTTTCGAAGGACATCCTGGGATTTTTAACAACCACAGAGAGTCAGGACCTCTATTTAACATCACATCCGAAAGTCGGCACTCACTGAGCAGTATTGAGTCCCCTTCACTATACTGGGGCATTAGGACCCACACAGACCACAGTTTGAGTGTTCCTGCTGGCCTCACTAACACCACTTCCGGCAGCAACTTAGCTTTCCCATGTGGTCTCCCATCCAGGTACTGACCGGGCGCAGCGCTGCTTAGCTTCAGCATGTGACTATGTAATGACAATGTATACCATTGTAACGAATCAAATAATAATATGCATGTTTGTGCATTGTGTCACTCAGCAATTAGTATAATTTTCACAAAGTGAATGGATGGCAATATATTTCAAAAATTCTGTTTACGGAGAGATTGATATTAATTACTGTCTATGTTTTCACATAAATGCCACAAAAACAACTCTGAAAACATCTCTGTCAACCCCTTTTGTCAAATATAATTATAATTAAGCCATTATTTCATCCACAACTCAGGAGCAAACTAGGTTACTTTGGTGGCACAAAAAATTGTTAATTCACTCCTAATAAAAGAAGCCTCCACTTAAGTAAAAAAGATTTAACATCTTTTCAATTTGTTAAAATATTTTATACAAATAAAGTATGAATATTTTGCATGTGTATTTCAGAGTATACATCACATTGTGTATGAGCTGCAAAGCATCAGCGAAGCAGAGCTCATTAATATTCACAACCCTTCCAAATATGGTCAAAACCTAAAGATTTTCAATTCAGGTATAATTCCTGTGGTTATAAGTGAGCATATAAAAACTTTCTATAGACGTTTTTGCATTTACCTACAGTTAGCCACATACTCTTTATATATCAGAAAACATTTTAACATATTAATTTCATGCACTCTATGGCACCTTTAATACTGATAATATGCATAGAAAGGAAGCAAAAGCAAACATGTCTTCCTTTATTGTAAATGACAATATGCATTTCATGGTTTTAAATCAATAAAAACCTTCTTTTAGTTGCTATAAAGTGTTAGAGCTAGACAAGCATATAAAATATTCCATTTGTAAAAAAGAAATCACTTAATTAAACACTATTTTCCACTGCATTTGGTTTCAAGAGAAAAACCCCTGTTTAATAATAGTTTCTGAAACAAAAAAACTTCCAACAAAAAGCCCCTGATAAAAACCACTGAACTATCTCTTCAATGAGAATCTCCAATCATCACAATTTGCAAGCAGAGCTAAACAGACATCAAAAAGTGTCAAACAATCATGTGATTCTCACCTGCGAGCTCAGGTAAAACAGCAGTGTCCATGCCACCAGCTCTCCAGTCCTTTTGTCTCTCAGCTGCCTGTCCATTACGTTCTGCAATATGTTCCACCACAATGAGATTTTCAGCTTGTGTAAGTGTTTGCTCGCTGCCTGGCTCTGTGCACAAGCACTTTTATAAAGTCCTCGCTCTGATGTCATAGCCTGACTGCAGGGTAAACAGTGGCTGGACCGGGATCAGAAATGTTTCGAATTCCACATCTCCGTTGCCCATTTCCACAAGCAGAAATGATTTTCTCCCTCCACTCGCCTGCTCTGGTGTGCAGTGATGAAACATGGACTTCTGGAAGAAAAGCGGGACCGTAGGATTGCTCTCAGCCACATCCAAGTTTCCTGAGCTGTTGTTTGTTGAATTATATATATATACATAAGTGGAATTTATACACACACACACACACACACACACACACACACACACACACACACACACACACACACACACACACACACATATATATATATATATATATATATATATATATATATATCAGACCCAACAAGAACATAAAAAACATCACACACTATAAAAATCGAACATTATAAATAAGCTTTTATAATTTTATAAATATATAAAAATATAGTTATATAAAATATAATATAGTTATATATAAATATAAAAAAATCACAGAAAGGAATTATTTAATACTTAAATAACTATTGCACAGTTTGTCATAATAGTTATAATTTTAACAATTTGTGCTAATTTAACTATTTATTGATTTATTTTTACATACAAGCTATCAATAGTATTTAAAATATGGTATTATTCAAAAGTCTTATAATGACAGGATAAAAACTATCACAAAACCGCACTGATTTGCTTCTCAGGCTTCTTAAACGCCTGCCTGATTGCTAGAGCGTGAGCAGAATATGGCCAGGGTGGGTTGGATCTCTTAAAATGCTTGAATGAATTAATAAGTTGTTTTATTTAATTGAAATAAGTGATTCAATGACTCATAATGAGAGATTATTTGATTTCAGAATGAACCAATTGAATTATTAAAAGTACTGACTGAGTTTATTATATGAATCCCCGAGAAAAGATTTACTCACATTTTTGCCACATGGCTCAGAGATACGAAGAAAAATGTTGTTTTCAGGTTTTGGACTTTATACAGAAACTATAATGATACTGCTACCAAAAACACACTCTTTGAAATCTGTTATGCAATGTCAAGCTACCAAAACCTAATTGAAACTATTGTTATTTACACTTTAACCCTTATGTACTGTTGGAGATGTTTTCATCCACTCTGGGGTAATTTTGAGTCTTAAATTGGTCATCACTTTCTCTCTGTTTCAGCCAGTGGAATTATTTTGGTAACAAATCTTATTTCTTACACATATTTTGAGAAAATGCTTTGGATTTTTAAAGAAACTCAACAATACACCCTGAGCAAATTTACTAGCCTTTTATTATCTTTGGGATGAAAATATTCACTGAATTAAACTGCTGTAAAAATGCATCAGATAAATATTTTTATTTAGAAAAATTCAGGATTTTAACTTTCATAAAAGTTCATATGATGTCCTATTTGGTGAAAAACACACACAAAATAACGTATTTTCAATATAAAAAGTAATTGTGGACTATTTTTTAACCTTTAATCACAGTTTTGAACATGTAAAACAACATTGTCTTTGATGCATTGTTGTTGATTAATTAAATTTTTTCCCCTAAATTACTGTTGGTGGCTGTTTTTGCCCCATTGACTTCTATTATAACCACATTGTTTTTTGATTGCAAAACCATGGCACCATATAATTTTGCATTTTTAATTGTTGGTGGTTTTCCCTGTTGGAAAGAGGTAAACGTCATTTTAACGGTTGATCATCAGTTGGAACCATTAACCTTTTAGATAGGTGTGCAAAAAAGCTTAGTTTTTGGATTTTTAAGGAGTACTGTATAACACCAAATTAAAGTGTTTATGTGTGTCTGTAAGTGTGTGAGAGTGACCTTTGCTCACTAACCTTGATGTGTCTAAGAAAATCAAAATATGCATCTCAGCTCTCAGAACTACATGGAGTAAATAAAAGACTGTATATTTATGCACCATCAAATGTGCTTATAATGGAAGTCAATGGGGCTAAAACAGTCACCAACAGTAAATTAGGGAGGAAAAATTAAGATCAATCAAAAACAAAGCCTCAAACGCAATGTTGTTTCACATGTCCAAGACTGTGACAAAAGATAAAAAAATCCAGTTCACAGTTACTTTTTATACTGACAATACGTCATTTTGTGTGTTCTTTTCACCAAATCAGTGACCAAATTTAAGAATTTGGCAATTAAAGAGTTAAAATCCTGTAATTTTAAAAACATTTGGTCATTTTGATCAGGACTGAGGTTTGTTAACAGATTTATGCAAAACCTTTTGAAAAAAATATTTATCTGATGCATTTTTACAGCAGTTTAACTTACAAACATAACAAAAGGCTAGTCAATTTGAACAGCACACAAGGGTTAAAACACTTCAATTTAGCATCGAATCTGTGCTTGGGTTTAAACTGTGGGTGGCACTGAACGTTTTTTTTTTAGCTTTTTAAAAAAAGACATATTACATTTTTCACGTCAAGTGCTCAGACAAAACAATCCCATTGCGCTGCAGGATGACCCACTGGGAATGACTGTTTAAAAATAGACCTAGACGGGAAATTCACTTTTACAAATACCACAGCTTTTGATAATTCAGCTGGAACACATGTGGCCTGCCAGATACAGCAAAAGTAGAGTGGATATTAGTTCGGCCTCAAAATTCTCTTCAGCCACTCTTTTATTTTATACATCCTTTCCAAAAATCACAAATGCTTGGAATGTACAAAATCACCGTTAGAGGCCTTTTTGGATACAAAGCATTCAAACTTTTATGCAAAACACAGTAATCATATTCAGAATAAAAAAATATTGTGTTAGTCTGTCATGTTATGCAGAGATTTTTGTTTTAATAGTGAAGGACAAGGTAATCTAAACATGACTATCCTGTAAATGTGGTTAAATAAACATTCATCAAAGTCCAGTGAAAACATGTTTTGTGTCGGAAATGTGTTAAATTATTCTGGAAGGGTTATTCATAAAAAAAATATTGTTTAAATGTTAAGAGATTAACTGAGCAAGAGAAGCAGATGTGGAACAAAAACTCCCTTATTCACGTGCAAATTTCAGCCAGTTGTGTGGTTTAAAACTAGCCCAACAATGTCTCATGGAAAAGTTTTCGCTTAAAGTGAAATACATGCACTGAACTGTTTCTATGCTTGCAGAGTACCCAGGAACTGACTTAAATTCACAGAAAAATTGAAAAGGGAAGATCTGATTCATGCACTAACAATGTGGGCAGGGGTGCTTTTATTTGATACCTAATTTAATACAACATGGTAAAAACCTTAATATAAATGATAGAGCAATACAGTAATAGTGAATCTACAGTCATAGCGGGAAAGCTCTCTCCGTGTGGTGCAATTGGTTTCATTAAAGGAAAATGCTGTGGTCCGTAAGCCTCATTATTTTAGTAATCTCATCTCTTACTTTTTCATTCATCCCAGTTCCTGTGATGCGATCTTCAGGGAATTGGCTTAGGACCTTTCCAATTTCCTTTTCTTCATATTAGATCCTGTTACCACACACCCTGTAATAAAGAAGAATTACTTTGATGAATTAACATGCTTGACCAGACAAACAGAGCATAATTCTAACATTTCTAGAGCTTCGCCAGACAATTCCTTGAACTTAATATTAACAAAACCTATGATTTGCCTTTGAGGTTGGAAGAATTTGGCCTCAACTGAAACACGTCTTACTGTAGTTAATGACTGGAAACTGGAAATGTGGTAATAAGTATTACTAATTTGACAATTATTAGATAAAAAATTACAAATCATATTTTAAAACAAACAAACAAACAAACAAACAAACAAACAAACAAACAAAGCTAAAGACCAAATCATAAGTTTTATATGTTTCATCATGCAAGTCATATTTACGTTTTTATTTTGCCAAAAGTGTTCTTGGAGCTTCATGTGATTACAGTTGAAACACTGAAGTGACATGGAATGTTTTGACAAAGGTTTTGGTTTCTTTTTGGAACCTTGAACATCTCGGGACCTTTACTATATAGATGATGAAAGAGTTCTCGGATTTCACCCAAAATATCCTAATTTGTGATCTGAAGAAAAACAAATGAAACGGGGGATTGGAGCAATATGAGGATTCAATTCAATTCACCTGTACTTGTATAGCGCTTTTACAATGTAGATTGTGTCAAAGCAGCTTTAGATCTTAGTAAATTGAAACAGTGTAGTTCAGTTTTCAGTGTTTAAGTTAAATTCAGTTTAGCTCAGTTCAGTGTGGTTAATAATCACTGTTGAGAGTCCAAACACTGAAGAGCAAATCCATCGATGCGCAGCTCAACAGATCCTGAACTATGCAAGCCAGTGACGACAGCGGCAAGGAAAAAACTTCAGCAATTGGCGAATGTGAAGAATTAAAAAACCTCAAGAGAAACCAGGCTCAGTTGGGCACGACCATTTCTCCTATGGCCAAACGTCTTGTGCAGAGCTGCAGTCTAGGCGCCGGAGGCTGGAGAATGCTGGACCTCAGCGAAGACTCGTCTGTCTCTGGAGCGTCACAGGAATCATCCTCATGCTCTCCACTCCTCCATGACTACCACAGCAGCTGCTCAGGATACAGCCTAATCCAGGATTATGGAAACCTACGGATCATCTCGTCGCTGGTCTTGGATCGAATCAGTGGCGCTGCAAAGTTTGAGGGCCTCAGGATGAGTATCCCTATTTGGAAATAGAGAATAAAGAGAATAATTGTAGCTGCTGTTCATAGTGTATATAAACGAGATGCAAAAACCTGTGTGGGGCACATTCATGTATCATACCACTAAGTGATGCACTGAGGATGAGTATAATAACAACATTTTCATGTTTAGGTGAACTAATCCTTTAATTATTCAATCACTGTATACAGGCAGCACATCCATAATAGAAAGACTCATCCTTGTCTAGTTTCCACACAATTTCTCTTCAACTTTATGCCTGTGTTTAATTGCTTTTTAGGAGTTTAGGAGCCATAAATAAGAAGGCTTGACCCCTTTTATTCAACTTTGCTATTATTAGTACTACCAGAAGCCCTGAGTTTTGAGATCGTAAAGAGCAGGTTGGTTAGATAAACAGGAGCTAGATTATTTAAAGCTTTATAGGTAAGAAGTAATATTTTTAAATCAATATGAAACTTAACAGGCAGCCAGTGTAACGAGGATAAAATTGGGGTGATATGATCATATTTTCTAAA